TGGCTCAGAGAACCTTAAATTAATCACCCACTCAAAGTGCTGCCATCAGCCCAAGAATAATCACCTCTTGAAACACTCCTGGCTCCAAGGTTCGGAGAACCTGGGCTCCCGCGGCAATGGGACTATCGTCAGACACCGGGTGGGCTTCCTCCACGGAGGCAATGACCGGAGCACGGAGTTGGGGTGGGGCAGCGACGGGAGATCTAACCTGCCACTGTAACCCCAAAGGAGAACTCGGGCAGGAGGGCGCACGGGGGCCGGAGGGCCAGGAGAGGCCTAGAAGGGCTGGGCGCCTGGCGGGACGGTCTCTCTGTTCGCCCCCTCCTCACAAAGACCAAACAAACGAATGAGAACTGAAAAAGACAGCAGCGCGAAAAATCTGGGTCACACTCCCAAGACTTTTGCCATCATAAGGCCAAGTTCTCGGGGCATCAGCCTTCACCATCAGCGGGGGCCAGAACAGTATTACCCAAAGTCCTGATCCGGGAGGCAGAGGCCTGGGTTCCCGGCACCGCTGCACCACCCATCTGCCAGGTGTGACCCCGGACAGGTATCATCTGCCTCCTTCCATGCCTCAGTGTACCCAGCAGCACCCCGCAGGCCTGGGCAGAAGGGTCCCCGGGCAGGGGGGAGGGGTGGGCTTCAGGGCAAGCAAAGGCCGGGCAAATTCTGGAGGCCAGCCACCCTGCTCCCACGCGGCCCTGGGGCTGCCCACCCAGGTGGACGCACAGGTCAACGTAGACCTTGGGGCAGCCTGCTGGTGTGGACGGGTGAAGGCAAGAAACTCAGGGAATGGGGTCAACTCCCTTCCGTCCTGGGGGTTCAGGCAGGGGGAAGCTGCAGGCCCAGGTGTGTGTCTGTGACGTCAGAGAAAAGCAAGAGCCGGGGGCGGTTCTGCATTAGCTTTGCTGCCGCTGGATGCCTGCTGCAGGCGCGCCTGTGACACCCGAGGCCATGTGCGTCAAAGTTGTAGCGAGCGGTGCACGAGACAGACAGCCGAGCGTGCAGCGGGGACGTGTGGGTGTGCAAAGCCGCGTACGGCAGAAGCGTGACCGCTTCGGGTGACGCTGGGCAGCTTCCGGCCAATCTCACACACGCTCATCCCTGGGTGCCGGGTGCTGGGTGCTGGGTGCCAGGTGCCAGGGGACAGAGAAACCAATGGCATGGGAGCGCCGCTCCTGGGGTGCTGGCTGAAGCCGAGACGCAGGGGAGAGACAGCGCTGAGTCAGACTTCGCCCTGAGGAGGCCCCTCCGACACCTCTCCTGAGCCTCAGTCTACCCATCTAGCAAGTGAGGAGGATAAGAGCACCTGCCTCTCGAGGTGGTTTACGGAGCACGGTGCCAGGGCACAACTGATGCTCCGCGAGCCATCAGAAATTTCCATCCAGACTGCAAGAGGCCACCCAGGCCGCCGGGAGCAGGGGCGGGGGGTGCGTGGGGGGGGTGGCTCTAGATAGGGAGTCAGGAGTCTTGGGGTTTGCTTCCGCATCTGCTTCTGATTCACTGTGTGACTTCAGTCCCCAAAGCCTCAGTTTTCTTATAAGCAAAATGGGCTGTCAAGATGTGAGGACCCACCTAGCGGGGTCGCCTGAGGGCTCTGGGCCCCCTTGGCTGGGCTTATTTCCAACCCAGGCAGTGATCTTTCTCAGATGCTCAGGGTGGGAGCTCAGGACACTCCAGGCTGAGGAGTCTGAGGGCCCCAGGACTGCCGCCACCTCCTCCCCTCCTCATTCCCACAGCTTCTGACCCCAGGGACAAGGCTGAGGAGGATGTTTACAGAGTGTAAACCTTCACATAGAGAAAGTGCTGGGCAGCTGGGGGCTGGGAGCAGCCACAGTCTCCCAGCGGCGCAGGGAAATGGGGGGTGATGGGGCCTCGCTCCATATGGGCCCCTTGCAGCCCTCTGACTTCAAAAGGGAGGCAGGGGTGGCCTTTGAGAGGGTGCAATGAGGAGGTGAGCACCCTCACCCCCCACGACCCTGAAAGCGGGATGGCCAGCGGTGTGGTGTTTCTCACAATTCAGAGAGCAGGGCCTATAAAGGGGTGCGGGCTTAATCAAAGACTGGGACGCCGGGGAGGGATTGGGGTTTGGTGATGACAGGGCCAGGGGCCTAGAGAGTTTGGGGAGGGGCCCGCCATCCCTCATTCTGGACCTCGGTAAGGAGAAGTCAGGAGTCAGTGGCTCCCACTTTCCAGAGGCCACAGCTGTGCTGGGCAGGAGGAGGGGGGAGATGGAACCGGGGTCGCGTGCCAGGCTGTGTCCCACACCTCGGTGCCAGAAAAGGGGCAGGTTCCGTGGGGCCCTCGGTGGCAGGTGTGAGGGTGGTCGGCTCTCCCCAGTTCCCTTTTTCCAGAGCCCTTCTTTCCCAGGCTTTTCCGCTGGGCCCCTCCTGCGAGGGCCTGAGACTCTGGGAAGGGGGTGCTAGCTGATGGTGCGCATGGGGGACCCCTGCACTTGAACCACCTCTGCGCACCCTCGTGGAGCCAGAAAGGATCTGGCCGAAAGTGCAGCCCGACGGCCAGAAGTCCAACAGCAGGAAGCACTTCCTGGCAAGAGCAGCCAAGACCCTACAGTGAGTGACTGAGAAACCCCACATCTGGAGCGCCTCGCGAACAGCAGAGGCCTCCCGTCTGGCCCCCTCCGCCAGCCCCGGGAATAACCCCCATCTTTCACACTCGGACAGGCCCTTGCGGCAAACCAAGCTCTTTCCCACCTATTACCTCATCCAAGAGGGAGGCCCACAGGGTTGGGGTTTCTGCCCACTCTGACGGCCTAGACACCTAAAAGTTCAGAGAGGCCCGGAGATCAAGCCAAGATCACACAGCACCCGAGGCGTGGGGCTCCCGACCCCTCACTCCATTTGATCTCTAACATAGACCACCAAGTCCCTGAGGTCCCCAACCGTCTGGACGTTTTCACACACATTTCCTCCCCCAGAGCTCCGGAGACGCCTCATCCCTGGGCTCCCGGGGACAAGTGGACAGAACGAGCATGCCCCCGGCCAGGGCATTCCTGGCATCCGGAAAGGGCAGGATGTGGGGCAAAGGTGCCAGCAGATTTAGCTCCTGGAGAGGAAGGAGAGGCCCTTCCAGAGGAGGTGAAGACAGTGGCTGGCCAGGCCTCATGAGGCGGGGTCCTTCACCTCCAGTGACCCCCACGGGGCCTGAGAGGCCAGGCCTCAAGACGAAAGACCCCTGCCTCAGAGGCCTACTGGCTTCCAGGGGACAGTCATCTCCCGAGAGGAGCCCACGGACGACACAGCCGCTCTCTGGAGGGTCTCAGCCTCCTTGGGCACCCCAGGCTGCATGTGGGCAACGCGCGGCCGCTTAATTAGCAGTCCTCTGCTGCTCTCACCTGACCCCGCTGTCCCTCGTGCTGTCATCACTCCGACAGTCCTCTCTGCAGCCACAAGTACTCATCCCGGACCCTCCCGACGGGCACGGGGGCTTGGGCCTCTCCTAACAGCTGACCCCGACGCTGAGTCTGACCCCGTGTCCTGACAAACTCAACTCTGCCCCGACCTAGCCCGGCTGGAGTCTCTGCACAAAGTCAAGGCTGCCACCCGGAGCATACGGGCTGAGAGAGTTCCCTTCCTCCGCCTCCCCTGTGGCCCCGGGGAGCCTGGGGGGGCCGCTCTTTGGCCAGCATTTTCTTCCCCTTTGCCTCTGGAATTCTGTGGGCCCAGTTAGGATGGGGCAGAGGCAGGCAGGAAGACAGAGCAAAGACAGGCAGACACAGACAAGCAGAAGAGTGAGACAGTCCGACGGACAGGCAGATGGGCAGCCCGACAGACAGGCACACACGAGGGATGCCTGTCCCACAGAGGGACGGAGACAGACAAGCAGAAGGACTGCTGGACAGTTAGGTGGAGAGACCAACAGACAGGCCGACTCGCACACAGGTGGAAACCCTGGCAGGGGGGCAGCCCGGCAAGGCAGAAAAACTGACAGGTGGACGGGCAAGGGGTCCACCCAGGAGACCCCCAGACCACAGGGCCCCGAGGGCGGCGAGAAAGGGACTAACGTGGGTCCATTTTCCAGGGGCCGGAGGTCTTTCTCGGGCACCTCCGGGCGTCCCAGCGCCAGGCCCAGCCCTTCAACTGATATCCGCGGGGCCTCTCATGTTCCCGGCAGGGCCAGGCCGTCCCCCAAGACCAGGCTCTAGGCTGCCAAAATTCACTCTTTACATCCAAGAGGGGTCAGTGTTTTTGAAAGTTGTAGGAGCGGGGCGAGGGGGAGGAGGGGGCCGGCGGCGTCAGTGTTTCCAAACCAACTCCTCTCCTCTTTCTTTTTCCCCAGGGTGCCCGGAGCCAGGCCTGGCGCGGCAGCCAGCGGCCGGGGCAGGCTAGCGGCCCAGCCTCCGGGCGGCAGGGCAGGGCAGCCCCGCGGGTGGCGGGTGCAGGGGCGGCTGGGTGAAGACAGTCCTACAGCACACGCGGGTGTCGGGGCTCAGGCGGCTCACCCGGACCCCCGGACGGCCACGGTGGGGGGCCCACCCCGGACCCGGATGGGGGCCGGCCCTGTAGAGCTCCCGGGGGAGCCCAGGTGGGAGCCCGCTGCCCCGACAAAGTTGGGGAGACCGTGACATAAAGTGTGCGGGGGGGGGGGGGCGGGCAGTGGGTCCCCTTTGTGTCTGAGGCGCAGGAGAGGGAGGCAGGGAAGAGGAAAGGGGACCCCACTGTGGTGGCTCCGGACTGCAGAGGGGAGGGGGTACCAAGAGGCTGGATGCGGTGGGGGGCACCTGCCACAGAGGAGCCGGGGCGGAGGGCGGGGCGCAAACAGCTGAGGTGGGAGGCCAGAAGCGAGGTCAAGCGGGGGTCAGGCCCCGGGCACCAGGGTTAAGGTCAGGCTGGGGGATTGGGGGATCGGAAACCGGGCTCAGGCCCGGGGCTGGGGGTGCCGAGAGGGAGAAGGGTCGGCCGGCCGCGGGCATGGGGGGCCGGGGGCGGAGCCGGGGCGGGCCCCGGGGGCGCGGCCGGGCCGCGGGGTCGCAAACTCACATGAAGACGTGGTAGACGAAGGCCCAGCCGCGGGGTCGCTCCAGCACGTTGTACACCCAGTTCTGCAGGCGGCGGTAGCGCTTGTGCGCGGCCGAGGAGCGCTGGCCGCAGGCGGAGCCCGAGCCCGAGCCCGGCCCCGGGAGGGGCGCGCCCGGCGGCAGGGGGCTGCCCAGGAGGCCCAGGCGGCGCGGGGAGCCGCCCCCGCCCGCCTCGCCCCGCTCGCTCTGCACGGCCGTGAGCGCCACCAGCTCGGCGCGGGGGGCGTCCCCGGGCGGGGGGGCCAGGCCGGGCCGGCGCGGGGGGGCCTCGGCCATGGGCGGCGCCGGGCGGGGGTGGGGCGGGGGGGCCCGGGGCCCGGCTGCGGTCCGGGGCGGGGGCGGGGGCGGGGGGGGGGCGGGGGCGCGCGGGGCGCTCAGCGGCGCATGGCTGGGACCCGGGCCCGGCGGGGGCGGCCCGGGGCGGGCGCGGCGGCGGGGGCGGCGGGGGCGAGGGGCCGCGGCGGGGGCGAGGGGCCGCGGCGGGGGCTAGGGGCCGCGGCGGGGCGGCGCGGGGGCCGGGGGCGGGCGCGCGGAGCCTGGGGGCCGCCGGAGCCCGCGCTGACCGCCCGCTTCCCCGGCGACTGGGGCGGCTCTTTCCGACTCCAACTCTCTTATTACGCGCTCCATGCCGCTCGCCTTTCCACCTGCCTCAGGCGCGCCGCTCACATGTCATCCTCCCCCGCCCCGCCCCGCCCCCGCCGCCCCCGCCCCCGCCCGCCCCGCGGCCGCCTTCCCAAATCCGGAGGGAGCGAGCGGGCGGGCGGGCGCGGCGAGGCGGAGGGGGGCGCGCGGGGCCGGCGGCGGGGCTGGTCCCCCGGGCGCGCGGGCCGCCCAGTCGGTGCCGGGCCCCGACCGCGTGGCGGCGGCGGCCCCCGGGGGCTGGCCGCGTGCAGGGGGCGTGCGCGGCCGCGGGGGCGGCGGGCTGGGGCGGGACGCGCGGCGCGGGGAGGGGAGGGGAGCGGCGGCCGCGGCCGCGGCCGGGCCGCGGGGCCGTGGAGCTCAGGTGTGAGCGGCCGCCGAGGTGCGCGCCCCGAGTGTGCGGCCGGGGGTGCGCGGGGACGGGACGGCGGTGCGTGCAGGTGTGCGGCGTGGGCGCCGTGTGCGTGGGCGTGAAGGTGCGTGTGCGCCGTCCAGGCCCCGCTAGGCGGCGGCGGCGGTGGGAGGCACGAGGTGTGCCCCGTCGGGCGGTGTCCAGAGTGCGCCGGGCGCGCGTGTGCCTGTGCGGGCGCCGCGTGTGGCTCGGTGAGCCGCTCCTACCTGGAAGGCCTGTGGCCAGGCGCCGCCCAGCCGTGTCACGGCGTGTCGCACGGTGGCCCCCGGGCGTGGGCGCTCTTCCCCCCACCCACCCCCACGTCACGCTGGGGGAGGAGCCCCCAGGGTGGCCACCCCACCCCAAAGAAGAGTGTCCCCCGAACCAGCGGCCTGCTCCCCGCCAGCCCAGTGGGACCGGCTCCCCCGCCTCGGGGGTCGGGGTCGGGGTCGGGGTCGGGTCGGGGTGGGGGCACGTGGTGCGCGGAGGTGGGCTCCGAACCCGCGCTGCGGGCTGCACAGCCGTCTCCCCAGGGGCCCCCGCCCGATCCCACCGCAGAACGGGAGACGCTTTCCCACGCACTGCCTCTGCAGCTGGAAAGTTCTGGGCGCCTGACCTCCTCTCGCCAGCAGTAGGGGGCAGCCCTTTCGTTCCCTTCGGCCGCCGGCCCGCGCGCAGAGGCGCTCTGGGTTCCCCGACGCCCCCTCCCTCTTCCCCGGACGGCAGCTTGGGCCACACCGGCCGCTCGCTGCTTAGGCCCGGCCCCGGGGCCAAGGCTTCGGCAGCCGACTCTTCCCGTCCCTCCGGGCGACTCTCGGGGGACCGAGCCGAGCGGGGGGGCGGGGCGGGGGGCGGGAAGGCGAGCTCGATTCTCAGCTGTCAGCAAAGGCGGCATTGATCCGCCGGGCGCCCGTGGGGGAGGGGGGAGGGGGGAGGGCGGGCGGCGGGGCGGGGGCTGCAGGGCCCCGGGGGCTCCCCGAGCTCAGCCAGGCAGCTGGCCCACACCCCTACCCCGACAGGGACCCTCTTCCCTCGGCAAAACAAGGGGTGCCTTCTGGGGTCTGACCTGAATCCTCCCTGCTGCTCCCGGCGACAGCCCAGGGCCTCTGGGCAGGTTATGCCCGGACCTCACCGGTAGCTGGAGAAGGTTTCCGGGCCCCCGGGAGGTCGGGGCTGGGAAGCGGAACCTGCTGCACATGCGGGACTGGGTTACCCCCTCCTCTCCCTGTGGGCTAAAGCCAGCAGCCGCTAGAGCTGTGGCACCGCCCTCAGGGACTCCATGGCTTCACCAGTCAGGCCTCCTGGAGGCTGGGACTAAGGCCTGGGGACTTGAATGGTAGGTGGAAAGAAAATCAATTGTAAGGGATTCGGGGGTCTTTTTGAGGCTCTTCAGTGGCAGAAACTCCACTTGAACGCAGGTTGCTCTTACCACCACACAGAATACCTGAAGCTGGGTCTGTTCTTGGAAATCTGATCCTTAAGCTTAGCGTCACCTCTGGACCCCACACTTCTCTTCCCATTTGGGGGACTGAAAAAGTCTCTTCCTTTCTTGGTGAGGAGCCCTCACTGCCAGGAGAGGGCCCCTCGTCACCTCTCCCAGCTCCAGCTCCAGCTCACCCCCTCACAGGCAGCAGGACGAGGAAGGAGACCATGGTTGCAGCTTGGGGTGGGGTGGGGGGATGGAGGTTAGATCTCAGGAAGGACTTTCAGAGGACACAGAGGCCGGTTTCTGCTGCAGGTGTGTGAGCGGAATGAGCGGAGGGACAGGCTCACTCCTTTTTAAAGCAGAAAGACAGGGAACTCTTCTGGAGAGGTGAGGGGAATGGAGACGGTGGTCCTAGAGGCCACAGGCAGTTTATTTGTGTGCACACGCGCACACACGCAGGGACCGGGGGAAGCGGAGGAGAAAGTCCGGTTCAGAGCGGACAGGTGGCCACTCCAAGGGTCACCCGGCGGCCTTCCTGCCCCCATCCGGATTCCCAGGACATGACTGGGAGGCTGGACTTGCCCCACTGCGGCCTTTAGTGACTAAGACACTTTTCTGAGCAAACAGCTGTCTCAGGCTCTGTCATTCCTCCTCCCTGCTGCAGGGGTGGGGGCTGTGGTTTCCCACCCTCCTCCCTGGCACCCTCTCTCCCACCTGTTCCCTCTACCCCACCCTCCTGAGCTTCTTGCCCACGCCCCAGGCCCTGAATCTCTCCCTGGTCACACTGCCAGGATGTCTCCACTCTGCTCAGACTCACTGGGCCACCTGGACAGGTGCCTTCCCCACTCTGGGCTTCCGATTCCCCATCTGCAGGAGAAAAAGGGGGCAGGGCTCCAGGATCTCCCATCATCCGTCACCGTGACCACCATCCATCAGTGCAGCAGGTATTGATTGAGAGGAAGGGGAGGGAGGGAGAGCTCCAGCTCGCAGGGCCCCCACTCTGTGCCAGGCCCTGCCCCACCCGGGACAGAGACTAGCCATTAGCACATGTGGAGGCTGAGGCCCAGAGAGGTACAGGGAATCACTGAAGAATACACAGCCTGGGGGTAACCCGGAACTGTGTATGAGCTGTCCTCTCTGCTGGCTGGCACCTACCTACTGTGCACGGGTGATGCTGGGATGGATGCTGCAGGCTGAGGGCAACTGGAGATGGCCAGTCGTGTCCTCTCCAACTGTCTCCTGCCAGCGGTGGGGACTCCCAGGTCTGCAAGTGGCTGGGACCTGGGTCCGAGACCAGACTCAAGCCTGCCATCGACTGTAACAGCCACCAGTGTGACCTCAGGTCATCCAAAGGTGCAGATTCCTTTCTTGGAGCAGGAAGGGGGTTTTAAGTCAGGGGTCTTCAGACTTAATTATTAACAATGGCATTGGGAAGCAGCGCCCAACGTGTAAAAAATATTAACACAGGTGCTCTGCTTGAATTGGGGCCGGGAGGGGGGGGTCAAGTTTCCACCCACCGGATCTCCTCCTCTTCTCCACATCCCAGAAGCCCCCTGGGTTTTCTTACAGCTCTCAGGGCTGCTAGAGGTCAGAGAAGGGAATAGTCTCCACTGGTGATGTCCCAAGAAGGGGACAGGTGTATGGAGGGCTCGAGGAGGTGCAGAGAAGTGCAGTCAGTAATGCCTGTGGCCCCCAGGCTGAGGTCCAGGCTACATGCTAAGCCTTGGGCACGGTGCTTTATCTGCATTGTCTTATTTCAGCACCCCAACGACTCTGTGATGCTGCTTACACCCCCATTTTACAGACAAGAAGAGTGAGGCTCAGTGGTGAGACTCGCCTAATCTAGCTCTCACCCCTGTGCTGTAGTGTGTGCGTCCACGTGTCTGTGTGTATATCTTTGTGTAGGTGGGGTGTGGGGAGAGGAGGAAGGTCAGCTTGGCAAGGGGGACTCCAGGGGCCTTGAATGCTAAGCTGGATGGTCCAGGGTGGCCTGATAGGAGTCTGGCCAAGGCCTTAGCCCCGGGCAAGCTACAGGGGCCCGGGGCTCCGCTGGAGTGGGTGCAGGAGGGGTGGGCTCAGAGGGAGGCTGGCAGTGCCCGGGGCAGAGAGAGCGCGGAACTACGAGTCATGGCTGGGCTTCCCGGCTCTTCCTGGACTAGCTGGTGACCTTGGGCAAGTCATTCCTCTGCCTCACCTTCCCCGGCTATCAGGAAGACTGGATGCATGGAAAGGTCATGATCGTGCAGGGAGCTGTACGCATGAAGCCTTCACCTTACTGCTCTTCGGGCAGGTGTGCGGGTGGACAGGGGAGCTGCTGTGAGAGCTGTGAGGCAGCTCTTCTCAATCTGGGGAGGCTTCCTAGGAGGAGGGGTTTGGAGTGCAGGTGCTCATGGGGTGATGGCATCATGGATGCCTGATTGACCTATTGACCTCTAGGGCTCCACTCCACTGTGAGCAGGAGCAGGAAGTGCAAGAGAAGCATCAGGCCTGCTAAGTTTCCCAGTGAGGCCAGAGAGCATGAGGGGCCTAGGCCCACCCGGCAGGTGGGAGGTACCAGAGGAGCCTCTCTCCCCACAGATGGCCCAGTGCCACTGAGCTGTCCCCAGCCCACACCAAGCAGGCCTTCTGGACCAGTGAGCCACAGAAGCAGTGTCGCTGAGCTCAGCGAAAGTGAACCCTCATTGATCCTCAGGGTTGGAGGGGGGCCCACAAAGAGGAGACACCGGGAGAGAAGAACGGGGTGTGGAATTGCAAGTCAAAACCATCCCGTCTCTTGCGGCTCCTCCTTTGCCTTCGGGATTCTTCCTCCTTGACCCCCAA